TATCTGACTTGCAGAGATATTTAGTTGAAGATGCAGGCTGCCAGGATTAAAAAAAACTTTCAGCATTAAGGACAAAATGCAGGACTATCACGACTCCTGCTTGTGAATTTAATTATCTAAAGGAGTTTATAATGTATGGTCTGAAAGAGGTCAGGGTGGATCTCCCCACGCAGGACAGGACACAACAACCTAAAGCCGATAACCTCATCTCAGACTGGGAGGTTTCCTGTGAAAGTGATCCTTTTGCTAACTGTTTGTTTAAAAACTGACAGGCTACAAGAGTCTCAGTGACAGCGTCTATTCATCTCAGGGTGTCAGTTGGAGAGAAAAAAGGCAACGAGGGAGGGATAAAGAAACAGGGAGAGAGGAGGCGGATGAAGAGCGATGGTGAGAGAAAGCCCACTAAAGAGTAGATGGGGAGGTGGTGGTGGGGGGGATCGGTGTGCCCTGACAATAGGTGAGATTTACCTTTAGCTTGGAATCACCTTCAGATCATCCATGTAGCAATTTCAGAAATTCATCCGGCGAGTGACTGAATGAGTGCTGATGTTTTCATCACTTTGGTTTTAATTATATGTCTCACTCAGCACAGTCTTCCTTCTACTCGGCTAATTTAGATTGAGATCCTTCCAGGCTTTCCCCTATCTTTCATTTCCCTCCCCTTCTTCTCTCCTCTCTGCATCCCATCAGCCCCTTTGTAGAAAAAAAGAGGAAGGAAAAAAACCTTCATGTCTGTGACTTTCTTGCCCTCCAGCGTATGAAGCCCTCTTTTATTTTGATCATCGCAGCACAATGGATTCATGCCATTCTGGCAACTTTATTCAGTATCAGCCCAAATTTACATACTGCTTAACAAGTTTGTGCGTGACTGTTGATGCCTCTGATCAAAGTGCTTTTGGAAATCTTTCTCATCTGATTTTTTTCCCGTCCTTCATTTCAAATGCATGCTGCAGACAGGCATCTTTAACTCTGGGGCAAAGAAAGGTAACCTTAGTGCTGCACAAGCCCAAATGTCATCCAACAAGGAGGGCTCATGTCCTGGGGATAAAGATAATGTAATCTAAGCAGTATACAGTGTGTGACTGTGTGTCTTTAAGTGTGTGTATCTGCGCTCGCCTCGGTGTTTGTTGGAGGCTCGGGTTTGGGGGCGTAGGGAGACAGGGGATGACAAAAGTCAAAGCAGTCATGTGTCATTTTCGGTGCTGAAGGGCTGGGACCTGCCTCCAGGGCTGTCCTCTCTGTCAGACGCACTCAGATATCTGCGCTGAACTCTCTCGCTGTCTCTTTCTTTTGCTCTCTCCATCCTTCTCTCTGTCTTTATCTAATGCACGCGCATATATGCAGCTGTAAGCTCGCGCGCTAACACACACCACTCTGTGCTCGAAGAACAACAAAGCAACAAGGTAGAACCACATTTGTGAGAATATGAAACCCACGAAAAATAGACGATTTTAAAGGATAAACATCTGCTACGTGTACTGACTCATTTCATTTTTTTTTTACACATTACTGTGCCTTGAACGCATCTGCCAATGGGAGCAGGACTGGAAGGGCCATGATTTGTACGATGACCAGTGATATAACCCACAACACTATCAGGGTGTATGACGACAAGTGGGGGGGGAATATTTTGACAAAAAAAATCAGGCTGTAAATCGAGATATCGGAAGCCGCGCTGAAAACCAACGGCCCATAAAGTTCCCATGAGGATAGGAGAAAACATGGTGTAGCAACCCAACGCAGGAACCCAGTGGTCGCCTCCGTTAGCAGTAATACGGGGCATTTGTAAATATACGTGGCTACCCGAGCAAACAGCAGAATTGGAAACATTAAATAAGTGGAAAAAGGAAAATGGACTCAAAAATACAATGAAAAGAGGGTGTGGGTGGAAAGAGAGGAATCGTGGGAATGCAAGATTGCACCTCCCTCAGGCAATCAAATTATCCTATGGGCCGATGGTTCCTCCTTATGCGTCGGCTGACATTTTCCTGTAACCCCATCCCGAGTAATGCTATGTGATGTGTGTGACTGGCTTCTGCCACGGCCCTGAGAGGCCACGAAGCCCCAGGGCCATCTGCTTTTGGCCCGCAGCATCCTGGGAATTGTTTATTTTAGCTCTGTCTGCTCCTTTTTGCCTCTCCCTCTCGTTTTGCTCAAATCTTCCTCATCTCTCCTGTTCTATTTCCCCCCCTTTCTCTCTCTCTCTCTCTCTCTCTCCAGCCCAGTGGTGTCTACTTTCAATTAGAGAAGGATGCACTTGTATTCTTCTGTGAGACAAAACCACTGACAGGTGACTCTTGAGGCGTAACTCAAAACCGCGCCTTTAGTCTCTTCACACAAACTGTTAGTATACCTGCACCTTTCAGAGGACACAAAGGTAATGATGACGGCAGTATCTGTTACTCAACTGTATATGTTGCTCTGTGTGATGATGATGATAAGAGTGGAGGGTGTGTTCAAGAAGGAAACAGTTGAAAATGTGTGTTATGCATGAGAGAGAGGGGGGGAGAGAGAGAAAGAGATTTAAGGACAGAGAAGATAAGATGTGTGATACGAGATAATAGAATGATATTCAAAATATATCCCCGCAGCTACAAGTTAAAAGAGAACATTAAAAGAAAACATATTTGGATCACTTATGGATATGTAAGCCAGCACACCAATATTCCCAAACTTTACTTCACACTGATGCGAAGCCCCCAAAGGGCACAAGCGGAGGCAGGCCAATCTGCTATACACAAATAGTGTATGTGTGTAACTGTCGACATGTGACAAGCAGAAAAGGGACAGTGTTGAGAGCGTAGCCTTTTATGACCCAACACACTTTGACAGCTTGGCCATCGCTGGAGGACACAAGCAATGTTGGTTTTTCATCTGACAATTTTAAGCAAAGCAACTCTCCCCCAGTGGATTCGATTGTTCTGAGAGCCTTTGTGGCTGCGTGGCGAAGCACAGAGACGAAAAAGGCGGCAGCGGCCAGTGGATTCTGCTCGCTGTTAGCTAGAGGAGTCATATTGTCAATCTGTAGGACAAAAAAAGTGAGAGAAAAGTGTAAGCGATATGATGGGAACTGCTTCTATGCAACACTGCGCTCTGCTGGCAGAGTAGGCGATGGCACACGGAGATATTCAGCAGAAGGAGTGAGACGGTCTTTACTGAGGACTAATGTAACCTCAGCTCCTCAGGGATGCATGTGTCTGTGTGCTGCTACCCTTGAAGCAGACACCTTATTTGGACCTAAGGACATTTTGCACTGACAAATTTTAAGCATCCCAGGAGGGGAATATTTTGAAATATGGCCACAGGGCGGCACATTAGAATGACAAAAATATAGATCCTCAAAGTGAATTCTGCCTGCGACTCGGAAAATCAGCAAGAGAGAATAGGACGGGATATCAGTGGAAAAGGGTCAGACTGCTGATGTTAGATACAAGCAAATGCTTAAATCAGATCCAAACACATGGAATGCTTTTTTTTTTTCCTCCCAGTTTTTGTTCTATATTAACTACAACATGAGAACACTTTGCCTAAAGTGTATGTGCATGACAGATCAAGAGATAAAGAGATGTGAGGATTGTTTTTTTTTTTTTAAAGAAAGAAAAGAAAATCTGTTACACGTTCACATTAATACAGTGTTTGCTGTGTGTATCTGCAATTGGCCTGTAAGCTCTGTGTGTGTGTGTGTGTGTGTGTGTACATACAAACAGTGCACCGTCGACAGCCTGCAGCACTGTGCATTCTTGCTTGGAGAGTACATGTCCTCGGGCCTCGTTCCTCCGTCAATGACCTCTGGTGAAGCCATTATTTTCTGCATTAATGATGAGCAGCAGCCAGCGATGAGAGAGATGGACTTTGTCCTGAGGCACAGTAGCGCTGATTATGGGCAACAACAATGCCAGCTGAAAAAAAAAAAGAAAAAGAAAGAAAGAAAGAAAAAGAAAACTCTTCCCACAAGCAGTTCAAAAGACTATGAGTCTTAGCTACAGCGCAGAATAAGCTGCTCTTGCTTTATTGACAAGATGGATCAGATAACCTCTGTAGCTAGAGGATTACCCAGAATAAACTTTATTAGTTTACCTACAGCTTGTTTTGTCATCCAGTGGATTCAGCACCTCTCTATCCACAACCTGAACACCAACAAACTATGTCACAGCATCAAATTCCACACATGCAAAAGCAATTAGCGTATGGATGAAATGGCTTGAAGTAAATTTAAAAATCCCAGAATTATCGTAGTCCCAGGATGTAATAATATGTATGGGAACTACAGTAATATACGAGGCTTAATTGATCCTCTGACATCAGCCCAAACACCAACATATAAAGACTCACAAACAAGACAAAGTGCAATTGCTCTAGTCAAGGCAGCCAGGGCACCCACTCAGGAAATCCTGGCTTGGGGAGATGACTCTAAATGAAGGACTTTACCATTCACCATTATGTCTTTGGTGAGAGTCAGAGGGAACCCCCGGGGCTCTTCAGCACAGCACGGCACAACTTTTCAAAGGGCTCCAGATTAAAGTCACTGAAAGTTCCCACTGGGGTCTGAGGCCAGGATCCCATTAAGCAGCCCTACCACACCGCCGGCCATAATTGTGTCGTTGAGAATTCAGAGCAGCGGTTGCTTGATAAGCGAATTTAGGGTGAAATAAAAAAGGAGAGGCAAAAAGGGGTCTCGTTGGGCCACCATTAGACACTTCATTCGCTCACCACTAATTTGTTTTAAATGACTGAGGGAAAGGTGAGCACTTTATAAAGCAATCCGAGCTACCTTTTCCTCCCCATTTTCAGGTCTGTACAACAGAACGCTGATAAATGAAAAACACTGCAGCTCGTAGCCACACACCAAGTGCCACTGGAAGCGTTTTAAACTGAAGCTATCTTTATCACAGCAGAATAATCGATAAATCTCTCCAAAGTAATGTTGAATAAACAGGTCAGTGCTACAAGTACCTACAAACCTAGTGAGCCAATTTGGTACAACAGATTGTTTAAAACTATTTCTGTAAAAACCGTACAAACAAGTCGAATTTTATTGAATATTTAGTTCATTATGGTCCGGAAAACCACATACAGTTTATTTCAACACTTGAGATTCATTGAGATCAGGGCTGTTTGGTAAATGATACAAAACAAAACTAAACACTTGTAAGCATTATATAAGATCCAAACCATAACTTGAGACGTATTCGTGTTTGTACATCAACCTGTTTAATCGTGGGAAGTGTAGGAACGTGTTGTTCTTTGTAACTGTCGCAGCATTACTCAGAAATGTATGAAAGACGTCTAAGCAAACATCAGCAAATCTCGAGTTGTGAGTCGGGTCTTTACAATGAGATACATGAGCAAACCCTCTGAAACATATTATTTTGTTGTCATCCAAGTGCAATAAAGAAAACTCAGTTATTGGCTTCAAGTGGATTTTTTCTGCTTCTTCTTCTCTGCCTCCTCCTCCTTTTCCTTCTCGATCTCAGCCACCAGGGTCTCAATTTCCTTGGATTCCAAAATCTGCAAACAGACAAAATACCTGTTAGCTCATATGCAAACGAGTAGAAAACACCGCTAAAGCCAGATTTGCCTCACAAATTACCTTCAGTGGCTGATTCCGTCTGATAACAGCGAGTTCAATATTTTTTCCTCCTGACTGGACCACCTGTGATCAGCAAATAAAAGAAGCCATTAATTGAATACTGGAGACCAATTCAGTAATGAGACTAATAATCTAGCATTTGATTAATAGTTATAAGGCCCTTATGACAGATTGCAATTTTAACAGCAATTCATTTCATGTCTTTAAAAAGATATATAACTCAATGTAACAATGCACACAAGGCCAAATTTATTTTTATTTTCTGCTCCTTTTGCCTGCACTGAAGGCAGGTTCAACCAACCCCAGGAAGCAAAAGTCTTGCATGAAATCACTACAGAAGATCATTCAATGGTTTGTCTGGCGGCAAGAATTTGACTCATGGTGGATGTAAATACATTTTAAGTGAATACGTCTCCAACTAATTATTCAAATTTGCACCCTGCTTTCTGAGAACATATTTTAAAAGAACTATTTGTTTGTCAGTGTGTTAATCCTACGGTTAAGCTGTTTAGTTATTATTGTATTAATGGCAAAGAGTCCAAAGTCAAATGTGGCAATACAAGGACAACAAGTGACCTTACCTCAAGCAAAGCTTTGATAGCCAACTTGATTGCCTCATTGTCCCCAGCAATGGCTTCATCTGTGTAATTCTTCTCCAAGAACTCTCTCACGGTTTTTGCGCTCCGGCCGATTGCATTTGCCTGATTATTTCAACAATAAACACAGAAGTCAATTAATATTCATTTCCATACTGATGAGCTGATTCTTCAGCACGTGTAACAAGAAAACAGTTTAATATACAACGAGAAAACTCGCTGACCTTCCAGGCGTGGTAGGTTCCCGAAGGGTCCGTCTGATACAGCCTGGGGGTTCCATCGTAGTCAAAGCCAACAATTAACGCAGAAATGCCAAATGGCCTGCGCCCGTTGCTTTGAGTGTAGCGCTACAAATACAACCAAAAAACAAAAATAAGAATAAAAACAGCAAACAGGGTGTCGATGACAAAAGTGAAAAATGTTCTTAACCACTGAATATGACACTAGTAAAAAACAAACAAAAAACCAAAACAATGAATGAATGGTAAGAAAGCTACACACCTGTTTCAGTGTAGCTATGTAGCGTGTGATGTATTCCACTGTCACTGGGTCCTCAACTGTTAGCCTGTGGCTCTGGCACTCAACACGAGCTCTGTTTATCACAATACGGGCATCTGCTGTCAGACCTTGAAAACATTGAGAGAGCTTAATTAGTTAGACAAGGAAACACAATGGGAAACAAGTATTATTGTGTGATATAGATAGCTACTATAGAACATATTTTGCTCATGTATTTAAAAAGAAATGTGGTTACTGACTTACCTGCAAATGCCATGCAGACATGCTCATCCAGCGCACATATCTTGCGGACTGTCCTTTCCTCCTGTAGTTTTGCGACAGATTTCTTCTCCACACCGAGGACAACGATGTCTTTACCTCTGATTCCAACCTGAGAAGGACAAAATAAGCATCTACATTAATTTCTAAATACTGGCCACACAGGATATCTTTATGTAATTGGATGGCAGTCAGTGTGGTGTACTGATGTAAATATCCAGAAACCTAAATAAAGTGACAGAATGAGTCTGTGTCAATAAAGCTGTGAGTAAATAATTTGACTTTACTTAATATCAAGTAAAACCTAGCACATGTATCATCACTTCAGCTCATGTTTGATATCTGAGGAGGACCTGTGTTCCTTAAGTTTTCCTGCACACTACAAAAAGAAAATAAAATTAAAAAATTGGTAACAGGTTTCAGGAACAGCATCGACAGTACCATCTACAACGTTACACTTTTCAGTTTATGAATAAAGCAGGTTAGAGCAACATGACTTGAAAAAAAAAACTGACCAAACATTTTTTTAAGTTTACAATTACTCCAAAGGGAACAACTTTCTTTTGCATACAATTTTGCACATTAAATAACACATGTAGATGGACATCAACTCATCCTGCACTTCCTGATCAAGCTAAAAGTTACACAACAACAAGAGGAGTTATTTGTAAGTAACTACGGTTGTATTTACTGCATTTGTAGGACTACCTACTGAGTTAAAAGTATCATGTTGACGTTGCATTCGCATTTAAAATTAAGCACTGTTTCTTCTCATCTATTGTTGGAGTGAAACTGAAAGTATTGTGAGTGACACAGCGACAAAATGCTTGCTAATGCTGCCAGCATTCTGCTTTCATTAACTTGATATTCTCTCCAACGGAGAGCTACAAATTAGCAGTTCAACAAGCTGACAGCAGATCACAACAAGTTTAACACACTGTTAAACGAAATAATTTGTTAAATACATAAGAAATCAGAGTGATTGTTAGCGGCTAGATGCTTGGCTAACTGACGTTGGCAAATTAGCGACATCCATGTTGCTAACGTTAGCTTTAACATTAGTTTAATTTAAACACCTACCGCGGTGGAACCTTTCTTTACAGCTTCCTGTGCATACTCCACTTGGAAGAGATGACCATCAGGAGAAAATACAGTAATTGCTCTGTCATATCTTGCCGCCATTGTACAGCAAGACACGTACAATCAGAGGTAAAAGTGGAAACCGCTACCAAATGATTCAGCTAGTTAGCAACAAGCCGCTCACTTCAGTGTGTTGAAAACAGCGCCTGCGCACGACCTCTGAACTGGGGCGATACCAAAAGTCGGTTCGTCCAGTGGAAAGTTGTGATTAAAACACAATGGGCTACGTGTAATTTTATTGGCTCATGTTTTCTGTGAATCAAATTATTTTCTGTCTAAAGCTACAACGATAGAAATATGTTCAATATTTTATTTCAGAGATGAATTTACTCCGTACATTTATTGATAGTCGGCCAACGAGGAATGAAGGTGTAATAAGGTTGAACTTAAACAATTAAAGCTACTATTAATAAACATTTAAATCAACAATTATTCTCTAAAATATCTGCAATATGGTTATTTCTATAGATATGTACTAAAGCTCTGATTGTGTTCCCCCCTTTTTGTTGAGCAGTCCCATGGCCTTTTGGTCTCGCTCTGGACTGTTCCATTATATGAAAAATAGGTGACATTGTAATTCACTTAAGCCGACACACGTGTGCTTTTAAATGTGTTTATCAATAACCGTTAGTATTATGATTTGTATGAGATTAATTGTAATATTATCACTTAAGGTGCAATCAAAATAAACAATAGTTGTCTATTATGCGTTTCAATGTGGTGCTCTCCCCCCAAAACGGACCACTGCATTACGAAATTGCATCGTATTTCTGAACTGTTTGATCTGAGTTCTACCGATTTGTTCAGTGTGCTAGCTACTTTTGACTTTTATGCTGTAGTTCACTTTAATTTCACATAGTATCACCATGTCGGTGGCGTTCGCACCTCACAGGCAGCGTGGGAAGGGTGATATAACACCCGCTGGAATACAAAAGGTAATTCATCTTTTTAGCGCGTCGCAGGATGGAGGCTACGGTATCCAGCGCTGCTAGCCGTTGAGATAATCAATGTAGCTGTGCCCATCCGAGTCCGACTGTGAGTAGATCGGAAACAATGTTCCAGGGTCAAAGCGCGGTGAATATGAACCTCCCCGGAATCAGGACGCCATGTGTAGACAGCGAGACTTAGCTCGGTTTGTCGAGCTAGCGTCTGATTGTGTTGTAGATGAATGGAGGCCTGCGGTTTTGTTAGCAGAAGACAGCTAGCTAGCAAGACGCGTCTTTTGTTAGCTAGAAACGCACACTCATATCACAAAAAAAGCCCCCCTCTTGATTTCAAATTACGCCAGAATAACCATCAGCACGCTACGGACTGAGCACACTGAATGATTTTATGATTCTAATTTGAAATTTTTGTCATTTCGTCAATCAGAATTGCACACCTGATATAAATATCTGCACTTACTTTTTCGCAGTTACTTGATGAAAACAACCAGCTGATCCAGTGTATTATGGACTTCCAGAGTAAAGGCAAAACAGCAGAGTGTTCACAGTAAGTTATTACAGTCTCCTCTCTCCTGCACGGTTTATTAATTTTCAATATACATGCGTTGAAAGCCTGTGTTGATGACTCTCCTCCTATCCAGGTATCAGCAGATGCTGCACAGAAATTTAGTGTACCTGGCCACGATAGCAGACTCTAATCAGAACATGCAGTCTCTCCTTCCTGCTGTGAGTATGGATTGTTTTGAGTCAATGAATTCTTTATGATTGTGTCCGCCTCATGAGTGTATGTGGAGTTCACCTGTAAGTGTTGAGGTTTGTGTCTTAGGTGAGCTGGTTTTGGTCAATCACCTGAAACATATTTTATATTAGAAGGTTTTGAGACATGAGAGCAATGTTGCATTAGCTACAAAACCGCAAAGATGCACTGATAGCTCATCTGATGTGTTGTTTACGGTTTAATTATGTGTGGCGATTGATTCTTTGTTTCTTTGTCTGGTCTAATTTAACTCCACCCATTAAGATATAAATATCAGAATTGTTGCTTGTGACAAGTGCGACTACACAACATGTGAGAATTGTTGTCTTATGTCTTACAAGCTTCTCATGGGAGCTGTTTGAAGTCTGGAAAAATAATTTCATTGATGCCACCGTGTTATGGAGTGTGTAGTAGGGAATACAGTTTTTTTCCCCTCAAGTTTTCCTCATACAAATGAAGCAAAGGTCTTGATGTCTTCTGTTGCAAACATGTGACCATCCTGTTTTTTTAAAGTAAAGTTCAGTACAAATATGCTGCAGTGTTCCTTACAGTGGACATAATATGCTGTTTATTTTTTTGTGTGCATCTATGTTACAGTGTGAAATGTTCATTTTAAATATGTCTGACGTTTTACAAAATGAGGTAAATGTATGTAAAACGAGATTTTTCTTGGCTCAGAATGGGCCTTTGTGGGGATGGCCACTTTGACTGGTGCACTTAAAGTAAGTGCAATGAATCTGTGTTCCCTTAACTGACAGAAATCTTTGCATTTTCCTGCTATTTCTGACCATTTCATAAACAGAAATGTCTATTATATTTTACTAAGTGAAACCTCACTCTTGTCACTCTGCTGCTTGTTAAAAACCTTTTTCGACTGGTCCAAAAAAAAATACTCTTTGCAGGATGCAACTGACCCTGTGAGCCAAAAGCTAGTATTTAGGTAGATATGAATTATTTTAGATGAAGTAATGATATTATTGAGTATGTTGGTGCTTGTATTCTCTTGTTTAGTCATTGATGGTTCCTAGTCTATGAAGGACAGTTTATTCAGTAACTTTGTGTGATTATATGTTATACTGCCTGGCCATTTTTCTTTTTCTAAATATGTATGTATATTCCTAATTGTGTTGTCTCGGATTGATTTGATCACATCAAACTTCAGCCTAATTATAATCGAGAGGTATCGGCTTTTATCAGCTTTTTTTTTCTGGAGTTTTCTCCTCTGAGTGACTCAGGCTCAGATGTGTTTGTAGACGGCTGATGTGTATTTTTGTGTCCGTGTTGTGTGCTTACAGCCACCCACTCAAAACATGCCTATGGGACCCGGCGGGATGAACCAAAGTGGACCCCCTCCTCAGCCTCCTCATGGTCACAACATGCCCTCTGAGGGAATGGTTAGCGGTGGCCCTCCAGCGCCACATATGCAGAACCAGATGAATGGACAGATGCCTGGTAAGCAACTCCCCCACCTCAACTTCCATTCCTTGTCTTTCTCTCCTTTCTCTCCTTTCTCACTCAGTTCCTGTCTCACTTGAGTTGCCTAGCAACAGCACAGAACTGTGAGGGAGGTCGCTCTGCCGAAGGATGATGTCACCCATTTGCCAGCTGTGGTGGTCTTAGACTTGCTCTCCATTTGATTGTGGTTATCTTTTGCTACTGAAGTGCCATAGTTTATACATATTTCTGCATAGTTCTTATCTTTTTAGACATTTTGTTGATTTTTATAGTACAAACACTGAATAGGTATTTGTTTCATAAAAAGAGGTTGGCGTGTGCATCAAACTAAACTTGGCTCTATGTCATAAACCACTGTAGTATATACACTTCAGCTGTGCCTCCTTCTCGAGTTTTCAAATTTCTACTGAATGACACAACATTAGATGCTGACCTTCAACATTATGGCTGTGTACTGAAGCAGCGCCATCATATTTATTCATTTCTGAAGCTTCTTGCTCAGACCTAAACGACTCGGTATGTCTGGTTATTTATCTTAGCTGTCTGGAGCGTAGGTACTGTCTTTGAAATTATGGCCAGTTTGGGGTAATTTTGGAGCTCCTGCAAAGTGAAAGATTTGCCACCCCGTAGTGTTCATTCTCACTTCATAAAAACAAATTTGAAATATTTGATCGCAATGTTTATATACACTTTCTTATGTATGTATTTCCTTTAAATATTGCAGGAGAGGAATGGATTAAAAGAAAATGCTAAAAAAAAACTTCTCTCGTATTGCCACCTGGTATAATATCATTTGTATCTGGATAGTGACATCACATTAATAGGGCTTTGCATTCACTTCTGTTGTATTGTGGCCAGTTTGATCGAGTCTTAATGTGCATATTAATTAGTTGACCCATCACTACACATGTCTCATCCCAGATCAGATCAGTGCTGCTGTACGGCCACCTGAATTATGTGGGTTGGCTTGTATAATGTATAATAGATGACTTTTCAACTTGTGGGTCTGATGTTTTTTCTTCAGAATGAGTAGTACAGATAACTTTTACATCTGGCTAGGATGTGATCACAGTGTGAGACAGAACACCTTCAAATGTGATCTGATTGCTTTTAAATCCCGATATGTTCTGTGTGCATTTAAGCTTTTCATTAAACAGCATTTTCCCTCATTAACAAAGTTCTCTGGATACAGATTGCATGTTCATGTACAGTAACTTTACATTTGAAGCCTCAGATTAGCAACACATTGCATCTATTACAGCAATAAAGGACAGAATGGAAATTCTAATTTACGACTGTGTAATAAATAACTATGTGTTCTTCTTTTGTTTGTTTTTTCAAGTAATTCTGAGTCTCTTCTAATGCTGGTTTTCAGGTCCTAATCACATGCCCATGCAAGGTCCTGGTCCAGGCCCCAACCAGCCCCCGAACATGCCCAGTGGCACTATGAATATGCCCCCCAGCAGCCATGGCTCGATGGGTGGTTACAATCACACCGTCCCTTCCTCCCAGGGCATGCCAGCTCAGAGCCAAATGAACATGACCCAGGGGCAACCCATGGGAAACTATGGGCCTCGTCCAAACATGAACATGCAGCCCAATCAAGGTAAAACAACGATTTCTTCGTTTCCACATGGTTGAGATGATTTCCAGTGACTTATCATCTCCCTCACTGGTGTACCTGATAAGCAACTTACTACCTGTATGACTTACCTGTCTCGTACAGTCTGAGAGTTAGCTTGTTGTTGGTTGTATCACAGGCCCAATGATGCACCAGCAGCCTCCCTCACAGCAGTATAACATGCCTCCTGGTGGTGGTGGACAGCACTACCAGGGACAACAGAACCCAATGGGCATGATGGGTCAGGTCAACCAAGGGAATCATGTGATGGGACAGAGGCCAATGCCTCCCTACAGACCCCCACAGCAAGGTATACCCCTCAGAGTGTGACTCTTATGTGTGCAAGTCGTGAGTG